GTGTTTGTATTACTGATGGGAGGTATTCGTAAAGTACATAGTTAGAATGGCCTCAAGTCACATGATCTTAGAGAAGTGACATACACTGAATTCGTCTGGCTCAGGATAGGAAGCCGTAATAAGCTCTTCTGAACACGGCAATGAACCTACGGGTTCCATAAAATTTTGGAATATTCTTGAGTAACTGAACGACTGGTAGCTTGTGAAGAAGGACTCACCTTCTTGGACTTAGTTCAAACGGATAATTTTTCTAAAAATAGATGATTCATGCTTCAATTTATTCGACTTCTTCGATTGAAACCGGGGTCGGACTTGACCATCCCGAGCAGTACTATGGTCCAGAAGGAGCCGGGGATTCAGCAGAAGTCTAGGTGAAGCAGTTCAGTTTCCTGGCCGTGGCTATGTAGGAGGGTAAGCTGTCAGTTGCACACGCCGGCAGTGTTAACCTCGCGATGGTAAAACTTGTTATACAAAGCATCGGATATTCTGTCCAAACATAGACTTGTGTTTATCCCAGAGAAGCTAGTAGCGAATTCATGTGTTGCAACAGACAGATGGAGCCAAGCCTCCCTCTGTTCAGGCATGTTCATACAAAGCACGCATGAACTTCGCGGTAGTCAAACCCGAGCCTCTCTTACTTAGCTTGAATCAGATTGTGAAAGATATTCTGGTATAAATATTTTACTATGCTTTATGTAGGCCGCGCCATAACTCAGGCGGTTAGTAGCCGGCTTTCCACCACGGAGGCCGGGTTCGAACCCAAGTCAGTTCATGTGGGATTTGTGGCGGACAGAGTGGCACTGGGGAAGGTTTCCCCCGAGTAATTCGGCTTCCCCTGCCAATTCTTATTCCACCGACTGCTCCACACTTAACATCTTTCAGCCGGGGCTGGTACAACAGGCCGACGTGCCAAGTGGACTCAGTCTAGCCCCACCTCAACAAACTAATTAAAAAGTAGGTTTTATATGTGATATCATTTTGACATTCATTTTGTAAGATATGAGGTTCTCACGGCAATAAATTCGAATATTTCTGCCTTCCGGGATGTGATGTGTAGTCTGGATTATATTTACCCACTTGTTGGAGGAAAGTAATGACCCATTTTCGGGGCAGAAGAATATTTTCTTCTGCAGATGAAAGCCGCAGAATCTTATGAAGCGTTGGTAAATATCTAGCAGACAGACTGACTTGCCCCTGTAAAGCAGAAATCCTCTCTGTTTGTTTTCTATTAGGTCCTTATATCGTGGATGAGAAATGACAGGGGAGTTAAGAATGTAAGTCGATGATGATGTTGATGATGATGATGATGATGATGATGTAGGAGAGAACAGCCTCTGATCTATTTCAGGCCAAAATATCATCTAAATATTTTCTAGGGGCTGAGGATAAACACGAAAGTAAGCAGTGAAAGAGTCTTTTCAGATATCTGAAATAAGTTAGGATTCTTCTAATGGCTCTTCCAGCCCATTCAGATCCCAGACCTCTTATTCAGTTCCGTAATCATTTTTCACAGACTGTACGACTCCTTGGAAGGGGGATCAGCCAGTCGCAAAGCCACTACCTAAACATAGGACAGCACGAACACAGAATAAACGCATACACAATCCAAATTTTAATTCCTTAAATGGGATTCGAACCCACGATCTCAGCGTCTGAACCAGCGAAAACAGTTTATGCGTTAGACCTCGCAGCTACTGTGACTGGCTAGAAAATATTGTCACGTGTTGCTGTATGACGCAACAAATAACTTCACGGATAATAATTATTCGCTTTCGTTCGGTTGTTAATAATCATCTTCAAACAAACGAAGTTCAAATTTTAATAAACTATGGGGAAGGAGAAACATAGACTGAGAGTGTTCGAGAACAGGGTGTTGAGGAGAATATTTGGACCGAAGAGAGAAGTGACAGAAGGTTGGAGAAAACTGCATAATGAGGAGCTGCATAACTTGTACTCTTCTCCAAGTATAATTAGAATGATCAAGTCAAGGAGGATGAGATGGGCAGGGCATGCAACACTAATGGGGAGAAGAGAAATGTATTTAGGATATTGGTGGGAGAGCCGGAAGGAAGAGACCACAGGAAGACCAAGACGTAGGTGGGTGGATAATGTTAAAATGGATCTTAGAGAGATAGAATGGGGTGGTATGGATTTGTATTGATCTGGTTCAGGATAGGAACCAGTGGAAGGCTCTTGTGAACACGTTAATGAACCTTCGGGTTAAATAAAATGCTGGGAAGTTCTTGAGTAGTTGCACAATTGGCAGCTCTCAAGAAGGACTCGGCTCCATGAGTGAGTGAGGGAGCTATAGCAACAAATAAATTAAGTAATTTGTTGTAAATAACCTAGATATGCAAGTCTGTGGTTCTCACATGTAGACCTATATATTCAGGTGGGAGAAAGCATCAAATAGTCATTATCTGCAACAGGGGACTTCATTAATATTCTCTGATCTGCCTGCTGAAGACCACTGTTGATTCCTGCATGTACCGATATGCAAACGTACATCTAACCAAACAATTCTATATCGTTCACTTCTATGTGTTTATTATCTAAACAAAAAGTTCTGGGCAAACCTGATTACTTAATTTCCTTTGATATTGCGAGGACCGCATAGGAAAGACGCGTCCAACAATTATCTATTGTTGCGGGTGTATTCTTTACCGCGGTAACGTCTTTCCCGAGCCGTTGCCTAGTGATGATAGAGGGTTATACATATAGACACACAGATTAATTGAAGGGATTTATGAAGTACGCCGTTGAGGTAGCCTCAGGTGTCATCATATATACCAAGTTTCATAAAGATTGGTTCAGACATTCAACAGCTAATACGAAGGGATTCACAGACACACAAACTGCCTGGTGGTCTCATAAGCCTGACTTTATTTTTTTTTTCAAAACAAGTAAAGTAGGCTAAAAGGGGACCAGTATGATGGACATAATATATGTAATGCATATTTAATGTTTCTTCACGCTATGCTTATGAAACATTTCCCACCGACACGCATACACACATATATTCAGTGCGTTACGCACAAGTCTAGCCAGAAAAAGTAGTTCATTATATAAACTTTGCCTTACTTTAGTACGATTTTAACTGAAACTAGGTTGTGTGGGTACTTTATTGCTTGGTTTGTTCTTCGAGTCTGGATATTGAAACAAGTTCCTCCGAAACGTCGGTTGATGATCAACTGACTATGAATGAATGAATGAATGTATAAGAGATGGGCCTTCTCAGGCCTTGCACCGCGATCTACAATAATCTATTGTGCTTCCCTTTTTGATTATCCCCTCAGCAATCCTGCGCTTCGAATGAAGCGTAGAATTTTGTACGTGGGGGCGTCGAAATAGTCACTTGGTTCAATAAAATACTAACCCAAGTGACGTAGTCTTAAATAAGCTAAGGCCTCACATTCACACAGGATATGTGTGGCTGTTTCATTTTCTTCCTGACACCACTCACAAGTGGGACTATAATTTTTTATTGCTAGTAGGATGGGACTAAGTCCCTTGTATTGCGGCCACTTCTGGAATATTGTACCGGTCCAGATGATAGGTAAGGGTGATTGTGGAGCAATTGGTGGAATGAAGATTGGCAGGGGAAAACGAAGTACTCGGAGAAAACATGCCCCAGCGCCACTTTGTCCACCACAAATCCCACTTGACCAGACCCTGGATCGAACCTGGGCCGCCGCGGTGGGAAACCAGCGACTAACCGCTTGAGCTGTGGCGCGGCCCTGGGACTATTACTTAGTCCCAGTTTGAAGAGGTGTCCTTTAAGGTGACAGTGTCCTGTAAGCAGTCCCACTGGCCATCGTAGCTGGTTCCTGCTTAACTTCAACAGTTCCTTCGCTCTTTTAGCAGAGGGTCCTCCTATGAGTCCCTTTGCTTGCCTGAGTCCATTCAAGGATCCCAAGTATTTCTTGTGCTTCATATTTGTCCAGTCCCTGATTGCTTTTCTGGCAACTCCTATAGAGATGCCACAGGCTGGTTCAGGTCCTATGAACGGATGTTCAGCTCCAGTCTTAGCCAATTGGTCTGCTGTTTCATTTCCAGCAATACAATCATGCCCTGGCCCCTATATCAATTGTTTGGCCAGTTTCATGAGGGTTTGGTAGCAATCCCAGACCAAATCAACTGACTATACAGCGTTATATCCCAAAAGGTGGAACTCTCCGTGTTGAAAAACAAATTGGCAAAACACGCGTATATTAAATACAAGTATAATGAAAATCCACTCAACTGTTCTTGTGCTGTTTCATGCTAATATTCAGACGGAAGGACAGACGGAGTAAACACAATATCGTCTCTGCAGGGATACGAGTGAGGCTAAAGAAGATCTTCTTAACATTCAGTAGGGTGTGTTACTTAAAACAAACAAACAAACTCCGTGCCTTGAGTCTGCAAGCGAACTATACCGACCGAGAGACGCCCGCTTGTCGGCGAAGTTAGTGCCATCTTTAGCGGATAGAGGGTGTCGCGTGGTCAGCACAACGACTCCCCACGGCCGTTAATTTCGTATTTCTAGACCGGGGTGAGTTACTTAACATTTACGAAAAATAAAGTTTCTTGGATAAGGAAGATGAGGGTTTTGCATTCTAGATGGAGCGGAGGGAAGCAACGATGCCTTAATTTGAAGTACTTTTCTGGCATTTGTATGAAAGAAAAGAGGATAACCATAACAGGCCTCGGTCAGGATATGCCGCTGTCGAGTTTCGAACCTGCCACGCTCCGAATAAAACTCAGAAACCTCACTACTTGCTCTACTTTACTCTATCATCCAGCTTTTGCTTCGCGATCCCTTTGCAGTAACTTTGCAGGTGCAATGGGAAAACTGAGCTATGGAAAATTCGTGCTGTATTCACGTCATCATAGGTTTCCATACGTCACCTCTTTTATTCATATTGTATGTTAAGGTATCGCACCGTCCAATTGTCGGGATAAGCAGAGTCACGCGCTCGTATATAATTACATGCGTTGTCTATATAAAGCTTTGGGTCCCATGACTTCTTGCAGTCAGCACTTTCACCTTCTGAACTAAGGACTCAAGACAGAAAAATGACAGCAGCTACCGAGGTGGTGGACGACGCTGCCACATCGGCAACTAACACTTTCTATTACCTTCTTATCCCTGCACTTGTACTTGGTTTTGTGTACTGGAAACTTCAGAGAAGAAGATTCGTGGATCTGGCAAACAAACTTCCTGGCCCCAGAGGATACCCCATCATTGGAAATGCAATGGATTTCTTGGGGAATTCCCTGGGTAAGTTGAATGCGGGATATGTTTGAAGAGTTGTACTCCTTCTGCTGGAACCCGGAGTGTGCATATTGTGAATAGTGTTCTTTAATTGAAGAGACATTCTTATGATTGGTACTAGGAATAAAATTCGCTGCTCTCCTTCAATTTTGTTGAAGTTCCATTTACGACACGAATTTCCAAGTCAATATTTACACATCTTCACAAACAAGAAGCACTTACGAAGTTGAGGACTAGATCCAATAAATACTGTGCTGTTCAGTGTTCATTTTATGACTCCATGTAAGACAATATGAAAATTATTTCTTTGACTTATGTACGTAATATCACTCACTCACTCATGGAGCTGAGCTCTTCTTGAGAAGCTGCAAATTGTGCAGCTACTAAAGAATTTCCCAGCATTTTATGAAACCCGTAGGTTCAGTACCGTGTTCACAAGAGCCCTCAACTGTTCTCTATCCTGAGCCAGATCAATCCAACCTGTACCATCGCATTCTATATCTCTAAGATCCATTTTAATATTGTCCACCCACCTACGTCTTGGCCTTTCCAATGGTCTCCTTCCCTCCGGCTTTCCCGTCAATATCCTATATGCATTCGTCTTCTCCCACATTCTTTCTACATGCCTTGTTCTTTACATCCTCCTTGACTTGATCATTCTAATTATACATGGAGAAGAGTACAAGTTATGAAGTTCCACATTATGTAGTTCTCTCTAACCTCCCGTCACTTCATCCCTCTTATGTCCAAATATTCTCCTCACCACCCTTACATATAACTTTACATATCAAAATAGTTTTCTTATATATAAATTCGCTTAAATGTGCGTTCTAGCTTGATCAGTCCTCCTCAGTGGCATTTTATCATGGCACTGGAAATGCTGAACAAGAATAAATGCATTTTCTTCAGAATTTATCATAAATAATATTGTGATAAATGTAGCTGGATACTTGTAATACATTCTCTTGATAATACACACAACGGATATTAATTCGATTAGAATAGTACTAGTTAAAACACATGTAATTGATATAAATGCTGTAGAAATTATATTTCAAATTCTTGTTATTGTGTTTAATTTAAAAATAATGCTCGAATAAACACTTTTGGAGGCCGCTCTTACAGGCAAAGAAACATCGTCTTAGTTATAAGGATAACTGATAAACGACCTGATATGAATGTATGATCTACACTCGAATATCTGTGTGTTACCACACACTAAGTAAATAAGGAGCGTTATCATTTTTCCTGCAATTTTTTACGAAATGAAGTGTTTGTAATGAAGATGTCATTACATTTCAATCATATGCAATAAATAAATAGAACTGACGTCACAGAACCAGCTCGCGCAAGCAGTAAGCCTTCTGACCTGTATTCGGTAAGTACCCAGTTCGAATTTCGGATGAAGTCTCAGGTTCCTGACAGGGATTTTCATTATTCTTTTCAGTAACTCCAGGCAAAAGTCAGGACGGTGCCTTCAATTATAAACCACTACAATTCTTCCATTTTCTAATCAATTCAGTATTAACTAATTGTCCTATCTTGGCCGCGCCATAGCTCAAGCGGTTAGTCCCTGGCTTCCCACCGCGGGGGGCCGGGTTCGAGCTCGGGTCTGTTCAAGTGGGATTTGTGATGGACAAAGTGGCACTGGGGCAGGTTTCCTCCGAGTACTTCGGTTTCCCTTGCCAATCTTCATTCCACCAAAAATTCTTCATAATCATAATCGCCCGTGGAAGGTACAATAGGCCAATCAGTGGCCGACATGCCGAGTGGACCCAGTTGGACTCCACCTCCCACCCATGCGAATTTAATTTTAAAAAATTGTACTATCTTTCGACGTCTTTAATCCGAATTACTGATAGTATCGTTAAATAAATCATAGAATATGAACAAAGATAATTTACACTGAATCAATCAATATATACGTATTTTCTTTCCAGAGACAACAGAGAGATTTATTCAATTCTCCTTCAATTACGGTAACATCATGAGATTTTGGATTTTCCACAAGTTAGTGGTCTTCATTGCAGATCCAAGGGATGTTGAGGTAACAAGCAATTCTTTCACACTCACCATCATTGTATGTCCTATGAATATTATGAACATTAATTTATGTCCTTGGAATAACCGAAAAATCTTACCTCTTTAACTTACAGATATATCAGATATAAATTTGATTTGTTTCATTCTAGTCCGTCACACTAATAATATTAAAAAGTTAAATAGTTCCGTTCAGTGTGACTGGTTATGATTTTCTTATTTCAATTATTCATGCCCTTACACGTTTCGGTCTTCAGAGGGACAATAGTTGTTTATAACTGTATTGATGTAAAAGGTGTCCCTCCGAAGATGGTCTCTGAAGACCGAAAAATGTATAGCAAGTGTCACGTAATTTCGAACAAGGCCAAGAGTAATCTTGAAAGCGCAGAAGAAAAATTTCAGACAAGGGGGTGGGTTCGAGGGTGTGAGGTTACTCTTTGCCTTGTTCGAAGTTACGCGACACTTGCTTTAAAGGCATGAATAATTAAAATAAGAAAATCATAACCAGTCACACTGAACGGAACTATTTAACTTTTTCGGAACAGATATAAAACGCAAACATTTGAACTTCTTATTGTCGGTTTATTCCATCAACAAGTTGTGTTCCTTTTGTTGTTTCAGCTGATCTTGGGAAACAGCACCCACCTTGACAAATCGGAAGAGTACAGGTTCTTTAAACCGTGGCTTGGAGAAGGTCTGCTGATCAGCTCCGGTTAGTTGCTGCTAAACATTATTACCGTCGTTTCTTCAGTTTCTCCAAGAAAATTCCAGTACTTTAATTTGCAACAGATTGCATCCCCTTGCTCCCTATTCATATTTTATAACTGCTCTACCATGTTACATTCGAAGCTGCAAAACCGCAGTAGTTTACAAGCCAACAGGACAGGAAACTAACCAGTAAGAATAATATATTGTCACAATTTAGAGGTTTCACTAAGGACGGGGTATGAATTGGATACGGGAGTCATTGAGACAACTCCGAACTACAACTAATTACGGCGCTATCATGTATTTCCATACTTCACAAATCAATAGCACACGCCAAATCTTCTGTCTTCGCTAGTCGTATCCTGGCAACAGATTTTAACATAATTATAAGAGGCCGATCATGGTTGCCGAGCGGCCTAAGGCATACATTGTCTTCGCTCGTTCGGAAGCCGGAATCGTGGGTTCGAATCCCACTCAGGGCGTGGATGTTTAGTATTTGTGTGTGTGTGTGTGTGTGTGCGCGCGCGGTTTTTCTGTGTTTATGTGTAGGTAGAGGCTTTGCGACGAGCTGATCACCCGCCCAATGAGTCCTACCGAATCTCTAAGATTAGTCAACCGAAGTGAAAAGGAGAGTTTTATGGAGGTAGGCCAAGGCCCAAATTGGTGCTATAGCATCAAAGGAAGAAAAATATATAAAAGTTTGACTGTAACTACAGCACACACAAATTCTTCTTTTCACATCCGCAATCTTTTAACTGACTCCTTTCTCCATAGCCGGACTTTATACTGTCAAATCCTGGATCACCCCAATTGTCTTCACTTGTAACCACTTTGCAAGGACCGAACATAAAATAGGGTTTCCAACAATCACTCTATTGCTGTAGACGCGTGTTTACCGATTCATTTGCCTAGAAAAATTTGCATCACCGTTGTTCTATTGTTACGTAAGTTACCTAGCAACGGCTGCTGTTTACTGAGTCACTGATTAGCAACGGATTTATACGCACCAATATAAACTGATAATGTTAATTGTACTGTATATTCAAATTCGTAGAGAGGTACACAAATGTTTTATTTTCGAGTAATGTATTATTTTAAAAAAGTTTAGCAGAGGGTGTGAAGAAAGTGGGTTTCTTGCTGTGGGAAGAACGGATTGTGGCTACTTACCCCAAATCTTAAATATCCTGGCATCCAGTCACTCGCCAAATTACCTAGTTTTTGAGGATTTCAGTCTTTATCTGCATCTCGGAACAAATTAGCTCCTATCCGACTGGTTTTGTACTCGTTCTAAATGTCTTATACCGTTTCAGGCCAGAAATGGAAGTCACATCGCAAACTTATTGCACCAACATTCCATCTTAACGTGCTAAAATCTTTTGTTGAACTGTTCAACGCGAACAGCAGAGCTGTATGCGAGAAGATGGCCAAAGAGAACGGCAAGACTTTTGACTGCCACGACTACATGAGCGAGTGCACAGTCGAAATTCTTCTAGGTAAGTTGATAAGTCCTGCTCCATTCTTACAGACAATATGTCCGCTGCTGAAAGTGGAAAGTTAGGCATAGCTCAGGCAATTTCACCCTCAATTTTTCAACAGAATGACGAGACATCGCTTTGTATGGTTATGATAATTTAAAATTACGTTTGCTGGATGCGGCAGATGGGTACATTAGATTACCAAGGGATGGCAGGACAAGTTTTATTTTTCTAATAATGTCTGAAATCTAGATATATATGGAATAAGGTAAGTTTGAGAACCATATATCTCATTGGTAGCGTGGGCCAAGTTCTAATATTTAAAATTTTATCGTCGAATTAATCTTTCTTTTCGGTAAAATTGATTCGGTTAGACGCAAAAGGGAACGTGTCGACCTTACAGCCGTTACACATGGTCTCTTTTCCACCTAATCGATTCAGTTTTAAAATTCAGTTCTTGCCTTCAGTAAAACATAATGCACCTTCGTTACTAATATTAGTTAAGTAATAATGTCTTTAGAAAAGCGACGCAGTATAATAACAGAGATATTATGACTGACTTCGCTTGTAGCTATGAAAATAAATGAATAACACATCTGAAACCTGCGTCGTCATCAACTGACAAGACAGAAAGAGTTAACGTTTTAAACTCAAAGTCAAGTTAAAGAGCCCGCGTATAATATTGTCAAATGTTGATGGTGCGTGACTAGAGATGGGTTTTGGATTGGATGATTGGATTTATTGACACACTGTACACAGCACTCGGAACTACAGGCAATTACACTTTACCCATGACAGTATTTCACTGTCTCAAATTTGAGGCTTCCCTTTTCGTTGACTCCTACTACTTGCAGGACTACGGTTGGGGTATTCGACCCCGCCTACACACGGGATGACTATTCTTAACTGAACTCTTCTCTATAACGTCTTTGTTTCACGGACCTAACAGAAAACACCGTTTCCAAAAATATCCCGGGGTAGAACAGTCGGTATAGCGGGTGGCTACTGAGTGTTCGGAGTTCGAGTCCCAATAAGGTCAAGTATTTTCTCTTCTCCACATCGTCCAGACCGAATATTTGGTCTACCCAGTCTCCTATCTAATGGGTACTGGTAGCTTTTCCCCAGGGGTTAAAGAGACCGTGGAGTGAATCTGACCACTCATCTCCAGCTAGTGTCGAGTTCAAGAAAATATGGATTTATACATCCACTCCCCCATTCACCTTCTTGGTTTAGTGCTTAATTAGTTAAGCACAGCGACAGCTCTAACTTGTTACCTGTTTACCGATCCGCTGCTTAGAAACGTGTTCTTCTATTATTGCGTACATATTCTTTTCCTCGGGAAGCCGTTTACCGAGCCGTTGCCTACCAATGAACTTTCAGGCGTCATGTCACAATATACGTAAGCAGGTAAAACATTGGTCACAATCAGGATAACTCCAGCAATAAAAATTACAAATCATTTTCAGTTCTGAAGAGTTGTGACGATAAATTATTGGGTCCTTGGACTCTATGCGTCGTCTGTTATTCCGAACACAGTTTGATGTTTCGGGAACTGGATCTGATTTCGTCTCCATGTGAGAAGATGAGGAAGCTGCCAACTGGACTAGTTAAACACAGCTATCTTGATCACTGGAAATAGTGACTCAGGTTAGAACACAATAATGTACACAGCCATGTAGAAGCCTCTCCATCTTTTCACCTGACGAAGGAAACAGATCCGGTTTCCTAACCTACTCACTTGGGTCCATTACTAAGAGTCAATTTCTTTCAGTGGTCCAAGAATTTATACTAGCTCTTGCTAATGGATCTGAGTAGGTGGCTCTTCATTTCGCCTGATGACTGAAAGAGATCGAGTTTGCAGAGATCTCTATTCTGTTCGGAGTTCTAGATGGTAGATAAGCTTCAGAAACCTTGCAATCTACACCAGTTCCATAAATTTTACAGGCATTTGTCCAGTATACATTTGATATTAATGGCATCAAGTACAATAATGGGGCCCCTTGAGTTCGTATTGAGCCCCGAATTGCTGTAATGTGAGGCATTCGTTTGCTTCCAGAGACCGCCATGGGTGTGAGCAAGAAGACGCAGGATAGGAGTGGATACGAGTATGCTATGGCAGTCATGAAGTAAGAATTCCTCTTCTTAGAGCAACTAAATTTGGCCGATCACAGTCGCCACGCCTTCTAATGCGTAAACTGTCTTCTGTTGCTCGAAACCGGGACCATGGGCTGGAATGTCAGTCTGGGCATGGATGTTTGCACTTCTGTGTTCTTATGTTTGCATTGTCCTGTGTATACAGAGGCCCTGCGGCGGGCCGATAGCCCCTCGAAGTAATCCTACCAACTGTCCCTCAAAAAATATTCCGAAACCCGAAAAACGGGAGAAATTTGGCCATGTTTTTTTTCTGTATTACAATACAATGAGGACGACAGAAATTTTATTTTGATTGAATTAGTAACTGTAGGAAAAATATCACGGCTTGCCACTGAGCTGACCCCTTTTCAACACTTTCTGTTTAACGCAGTCAGGATACCAAAAGAAAGGAAATATTACACTACAACATAGTGGATTTTTTTTAAAAAATCACTGATTCTTTCAACACAACATAAAAAACAAACTCCGTGGCCTGTAGTCCGAAAGCGAACTATACCGACCGAGTGATCGCCGCTTGTCGGCGAAGTTAGTTCTGTGATCTAGTGGTCAGAGCTCCTGCCTACAGATCCAGAGGTGCCGGGCTCGATTCCCGGCGCTACCAGTTTTTCTGAGAAGTACTAAGTCTGGAACGGGGTCCACTCGACTTCGTGAGGATAACTGAGGAGCTGTTTCAAGGAAATAGCTGCTCCGGTCTAGAAAAACTAGTTTAACGGCCATGGGGATATGTTTCGTTGACCACGTGACACCCTCTATCCACAAAATTTGACATTTGGACAACACATCGCTAGATGTAAATCATTTTAGGACGGTCATTGTTTATAGAATAAGGACACAAGCATAGCAACGAAAAACTAAATGAATTTAGTGATTATGTTAATAAAAATTAGTTTCTATGAAAATGTGTACCCTGGGTAACTGAAGTCTTATGGGTTTCAGAGTTAAGATTGTTAACGGTCTCTTCGACATTTACATATAGCCATCTTTAGGAATGTTAGTTAGTTAGTTAGTTAGTTAGTTAGTTATTGGAGAGGGTGGGTTTCCCCATGCACTTAGACCTGTCTTGGTCCATTGTGCTTCCCTCTATGATATTCTACCAGTCTCTATATCCTACCGGTACTGGTGCTTACCATCAGTCCCGCCCAGCCAGCGAGATCGGCCTCTACTAGCTGAGTGGTATCTATAATGCTTCCCCCATCTACCAGAGGTATTAGAGACTACTGTTGGGCGGGAAAAGTCCGTAATTTTGCTCAGTGGCCTCCTTTGGAGACATGAGGTTCTTTTACGTGCCCGGAGGACTTGTTCCCTGAATTTTTCCGCCCTTAAAAATTCGACGAACTCCGCCGGGTATTTGAACCCGCGTACTACGAGTCATGAGGTGGGAACGTTACCTCTAGAATACGGAGGCCGCTTTTAGGAATGTTACTTGAGTCAGCATTTAAAATACGCCAAGAAGAACAAGCTCTTCTACGCAACAAACCATTCAATTAAACGGTCAAAAAACCCTCCACCCTTGATTGAACCCAAGAATTCATTATCGTGCACAAATAAGTTCTACCACTGATCTCTATATAAAGCGAAATGAATCGAATTTGCATCCATAAACCCTAATCTTTTAAGGTCTATTTTAATATTATATTCCAATCTATACCTAGATCGAAGAAATAATCTTTTTTTTCAGTTCTCTATCTAAATTTCTGTATGCATTTCTAGTTAGTCTCATATATATCATATATGCCCCACCAGCCTCTCCCTCTTTGGTCTGAATGCTATAATAATATTACGAAATTACGAAGTTCTCATTTGTGCAGTTTTCCCCCCGTGCTCTTATTTTTTATCTACCTCACGTCCGAACATTATACTGAGCATCTAATTCTAAACCGGCCTCTGAACCCTTCCTTCCATTCGAGAGACAAGTCTCATACACATAGGAAATAGCAAGGGTCTAAAATTACAGGTTTACAAATATTTATGGCTTCAGATGTACGTCCTACAAAATACCGAAACTCTGTGCTTTTGGTTCATTGCAGAATGTGCAATATTCTCCATCTCAGGCAAGCGAAGATTTGGCTCAGACCAGACTGGCTGTTCAAGATCACTAAGTATGGCAAAGAGCAGATTGACCTACTCGACGTCATCCACGGGCTCACCAAGAAGGTAAATACTTTCTGGATCTCTACTAATTTTGCACAAGTTAATATATTGAACGGCATGTACTGTCTTCGCTCGCTTGAAAACCGGGATCGTGGGTTCGAATCCCACTCAGGGCATGGATGTTTAGTTTGGGCGTGTGCGTTTTTCTGTGTTTGTGTACAGGTAGAGGCCTGATCACCCGCCCAAGGAGTCGTACCGAAAGTGTAAAATTTAGAAAAACCGAAGAGAACGGAGAAGTTCATGGAGGTAGGCCTAGGCCCACTGGGGCTGTAGTGCCGACGGAAACAAAATGTTGAACCTTCAAACAACACTAGTTATTAAACCTACCACATGTTAAAAAAAATTGCATTTCTCCCACGTATTGTAATTAAGTGCTTCGTATGATTATCAATAAAAAGGGACTATTTCCAGAAAACATCATCAATCGAAGAGAGCAGTCTTCTGGGATTTGACACCGTGTATATGTAGTGTTAACCGACGTTTCGGAGGAACGTATCGCCTCCATCTTCAGTCTGCTTTTACCGGTTCTCACGGTCTCTTCGCTTGCGGATTCCTTATATTTTTCCTTCTACCCTAAAGATGGGGGGATACGTTCCTCCGAAACGTCGGTTAACACCACATATACACGGTGCCAAATTCCAGAATACTGCTTTCTTCATAGTCACCGCCGTGAAAGCCTCAAATCTTACATCATCAATCGAATTTTCTGTGAAATGTTGATAACAGATATTTATATTTCATAACAATTTCCATCGTCCAAGAGATATTTGGTTAAATTTTACTTCTTGGGATTGGCACAGTTCTTCCACTGATTTCGTCAAACGCCACATAAAAGGAGACCGGAGTGTTGAGTGTTTCGAAGTGAAGTATCTCATGTATAGCATGGGTAATGGTTAAATAAAGAGATATGCTAGAAATACATTGATCGGCCGTGTTCAGTCTACAGTACGCTTATGAGCAGACGGAGTTCTTTTCCATTAGCTTTCGTCTGCTGTCGTGTTGAAAATCCTAATTACTTCTCAACCTTCCCCAGGACATTCATAGAAAAGACATTGATAAGTACCAGTTATTTCACTCACGCAAGGAAATGAGCCCTTCTTGAGAAGCGGCCAATTCCGCAGCTACTCAAGAACTTTCCGGAATTTTATGGAACCGAAGATTCATTGCCGTGTTCACAAGAGCTCCCCACTGGTCCCTATACTGAGTCAGATCAATCCAATCCATACTATCCTATCCTATCCCTCTAAGATCCATCTTAATATTGTTCACATATCTACGTCTTGGTCTTCCCAGTGTACTATTTCCTTCTGGCATTCCCCCTAATATCCTATATGCATCCATCTTCTCCCTCATACGTGAATAAAATTTTGTATTAAGTTGATAGCAGTGATATCCCACGATAATTACTACACTCAGTTTTATCAAGCTTCTTGTGAACTGGTACAATAATAGACTCCTTCCACTGATCAGGCAATTTTCCTTTATGCCAAATAGAAGTAATTAGCGTATGGATATTAGGACGTACACTTGCCTCTTGATTGAAAATTTCAGCCGGAATTTGATCACTACCTGGTGGCTTATACCGTTTCAATTTTGCAATAGCACTTTCAAACTCAAAAGGGTTAGGGTCAGGTACTAACGGCTCAGCTGTATGTACTTCTATCTGCCTAACATCACTGACCCTCTGCATATTCAATAACTGGGAGAAGTAGTTCTTCCACCTATTCAAAATGTTGTGGGAATCTGCAAATAGATCATCAGTTTCCTCTTTCACTATGTTACTTCTAGGAAGGTAACCTCTCCTGATGTCATTTATTCCTCTATACAGGTCTCTAATATTCTTGTTTTTACTGTTCATTGCAAGCTTATCAGTTTTGTCTTTCAGATATTCCCTCTTTTTTTCCTGAAATGCTTGCTGGTTTCGCGTCTTATATTGTCCGGATTATCTCCATTTAACTCGCTTGGATCCTGTAACCATTGCAATTTGGCTTCTTTTCTTTGGTTTAGTAATTTTGAGCATCCTTCATGGAACCATGGCTTATGCTTCTTCAGTTCATAATAACCTAGACTCTCCTTGGCAGAAATTTTTATATTCTCTCTAATAATTTCCCAAGCTTTATTAACAACCACCTCAGTACCCAAGTTTTCCAAGGCCGTGAAGCTATTTGAGATTTCAACACGATACTGCTCTTTACCCTCTGCCTCATTAATTTCTTGAGATTGAACCTCCCCATATGAACTCTGTGCGTTGTTTGTTTGCTCACTGCCAGTCTTTCCCTAACCTTTGCCACGACCAGGTAGCGGTCAGTGTCACAATCTGCTGCCCTGAATGATCGGACATCAAGTATACTTGAGTGCCATCTCCTATCTATCAAAATATGGTCTGTTTGATTGTGTATCTTCCCAACAGGAGATGTCCAAGTAAGTATATGGATGTTACGATGTGGGAATACTGTACTTTTGGCAGTAAGATTTTTTTTATGTGGCAAAGTTTACTGCTCTTAAATCCAATATCATTACTAATTTCATGCAAACTCTCTCATTCCCAATCTTTGGTTTGAAAATATGTTCCTTCCCTACTTTGGCGTTGAAGTCTCCTAACAAAATTCTCATAGGGCTCTTCGGGAATTTATCAAATACATGTTCTAGGTCTTCACAGAACATGTTCTTTATATCATGAATTTTATCTTGTGTTTGGGCACAAACATTCGAAATGATGATATCACAGCATCGACTTTTTAGTATTATGTATGACATCATGGCACCAACGAACTCTACCCTCTTAACTGCTGATTGTCTTATGCACGAGGAAACCTGTACCTAATTCATGATTGTCATTACCCTTTCCGTAGAGAAATACATATTCGCCTGCTAGTTTGGTACCACCTCCAATTGTCATTGCCAGAGTTCATTGTGCAAACCACTTCTGACTCAACAAGGTGCAAATATTTGGTATATCCTGTGTTATTGATGGTGTGCGAAGATGGTCATACCACTTATACAGAGTGATTCACGAAGTTTTACCCCGGCTTATGGTACCTATTCCTGGGGTTATTTCCTGCAAAATTTCCTTATAAACTTGTGGTCGATTTTCAATAGTTACGGAGTAACAACAGATTTTCGAAACGCATCATTGTGAATGCAGCGCTATGCTTCAGCGTGGGCGACCATACGTTCCAGTCAGCTATGTCAGCAGATAAGGTAGACCGGTTTGAATGTTGCGCGTAGGTAGATAGGCAGAGCGGTTCATACGCGTGCGACGCATTGTGTTGACGTGCAGGGAGACATTTTTGAAAATCTTACGTAAATCCAGTCGTCTTCTGAAGCACTACAGTTTAAAGGAAACAGATTGATAGAAGGGTGTGATATGCAAGCATTGGTATGTTTACAGAATGGGATGCTGAAAATAATGTAATTTTGTAACACAAAATCGATGAAAAATGTTGCACAATGCAAAATTAAGAAATTGGAAAAAAATTGGTTTTAGAATGCTTCTTTCCTAAAACATTAAAGATTTAAAAAGTGTTTGTATTGTATTTCTAATTTGTTTTGATTGAAATTCAAAGAAAAAAAGATTTTTCTCCAGTTTTCAAATTACTGTATCTCTTTAATTATGAGTTCGATACCATTAGTATATTAATATTTTTTGTTCCAAATTAACTCAGGAATGCCCTCCCTAAGTGGGTGTAAAACTTCGTGAATCACCCTGTAGATATCTTAATATTGGACATCAGTCCATTCACTTAAGTTACATCCAACAACTTCTTAATACACAGTTTAAGCATTTACAAATTCATAGTTACTTATCTTATATTGTATATGGAAGACGTATGAACAGCCTCATTGAAATTGGACCCAATCTTCGATTACAAGAAAATTAGAAATAAACAATTCGCTAATGCGACTTTATTTCTATAAGTGACCACCTAATGGTGATCAATCGAAACTTGTCGTGTTCTTAGATAAATAACTGGTGGTTATTAATGTGTTATCTACAAATATTTTATGAAAGGTTATGAACAATAATTGTTCTGTATGTTGGCCCACACAGAACAGATGAAGGTATCTGTAATATATGAGGGCATGGGTTCTTCTCGAAGTCCTTCACTCTGATCCTGTTTACGTATGTCTTCAGGTAATCAAGAGGAAGAAGGAGGAGATCAGCAGTGGCAATAAGAAATATATCGAATCTTCAATAAACCCTGAGGAAAAATCTGTAACAACGGCGTTCAAAAGTCTGAAGGACGATTTGGACGAACAAGATGAGAACGACGTTGGTAAGCAGAATTCTCCGCTGCCTACCATGACCTTGAATCCTTTTCCTGGCCCAGAAACCAATTATAACTGGTTTCGCTTTTAGTGCGTCTTCATTTCCCTTTCCACATGTCACTGGTCACTTTCCTCCCGCGCTTTAGTCTTATACCCTGAAGCTGAAGGCAACCATTTCCTCTGAAACGGTCATATCTACCAGGCTACACGTTGTCACGTTCCAGAATAATTAAATTAAATTAATGTTACTGAAAATTATCCAAATACTGGAAGCAAAGAAATAGAATTGGATGAGAAATTTTGCAAAAAAATGCAGTCATGTTGCACTTAATCGAAATTTTGGGCTGTCAATTACTAAAACGGCATATCTCGTCGAAAATTTATCTTCTTAAATAGTAGAATACTCTGTAAGTATGGAATTTATTCCCTTAAATTCTGGTTAAGAAAAATGACTCAGCTCACATTCTTGTTCATGAAAGAAATCCTATCAAAATATTCAAAATTTCTATTTTTGTACTCTCCTAGGTCACATTTATAACAAAAGCGTCATACTCGGAGTCCCAGAAATGTCAGCCATTCTACGTCAAGTACAGGAACTGTGACACGACTGCTAACCATTTAAAATGCTCTTTTCCTGTGGTTAATTACGATTTCACAACGGTCTAAATACTGGAGAAATAATATTTACAAAATTATAATCATAATTTCCTCCCATATTTTTGCCACCGAGCACGAGAAATGAGCAATAAATAGGCTGAGACTAACATTCTGACGGAAGTGAGTATTAAGATAGGCAGTGACGTCGTGAAGTTTGGTAGAGAGGCAGTAAATATCGGAGTATTTTTTTATTGCTAGTAGGATGGGACTAAGTTCCTTGCAATTGGTGGAACAAAGATTGGCAGGAGAAACCGAAGTACTCCACCACGAATCCCACTTGACCAAACCAGGGATCGAACCCGGGCAGCCGAGGTGGGAAGCCAGCGACTAACCGCTTGAGCTATGGCACGGCCCTAAATATCGGAGTAACTTATTGCCCCTGTCTACTTCACTTTTCTGTAGATGGAAACTAACAGATTCCTCGGAAATATTGGTGCCTGCCCACCAAACTGCAAGACAACGTGTTCCAGAAGGCATTAATATTAATACAGAGGCTGCAGAATCATAAAATTTGAGCTACGTTGAAGAAGTACCGAATATTCATTTTAATTATCGAGCAAGTTGAATCAATCGTTAACTCATCCGGTTAGTAGTCGGAAGATATCCAGATCGAGTCTGGGCCGGAACGCCGAGTGAAATGAATAATTTATTTCGTTGTTTTCCTCAGGTTCTTCAGGAAATTCCTGGATAGTACCATAAATTATGCTACGACCCTTCCTTTCATATCCTTTCCAATTCAGCATTCACTATCATACAAACATTTGACGCTATGTAGTTCAAGATAATGAAAACGTCGTTAAACATATAGAAATAAATGCAGAAATCTGCTCATTCTAGAAAAAAGACGCAATCTGTGCTCCTTATTATTTATGATAAGTAACTTAAGGATGAAAATTTGGGAATTATTTCTGGTTATATAAAATTTTATGTAAGTTCATTATTTATTTAATAATCGAAGACGATATTGCCGTAAACTGAAGGAAAGTCTCCATTTCACACGTGAAGTCATCCGGAGATGTTTCGACACTAATAAAATCGCTGAATTTCTAACTGTAGGTCAGAAGAAGCGACTGGCCTTCTTGGATCTGATGATTGAAACCTCACAGAATGGTGTTGTGCTTACTGATGAGGAAATTAAGGAAGAGGTTGACACCATAATGTTTGAGGTAAGCTGAGTGGTGCCATATGCCTCGAGGAAGATATTCTGCCAACCTTCCGGCATGTAACAAAGCGCCTAAATATGCAGATCACAAAAAGGTTTATTCAGGACACTACCATAATCATGAATTATATAGCATAAATTTAATTTCATATTTTTAAACCTAGTATACGACCCCTCTGTATTATATTCATTTCATTCCAGAAGTTTACATTCCCATGTCAAATTTTTACTGTACCTATTAATTTTGTATATGCTTATATGTTGTAGCCAGCCATTTTCGTTTCTTTTTCAGCATCAGAGATAACATTTGGCATGTATTTCTTACGTCTCTATTTCTGGGACGATTTAAACAATCCGGGCCCCCATAAAGTCCCTAGGAATTTCATCAATGCTCCTTCCAGTCCTTCATTGACCATGGATATGGAATAACTCTACCATTTCATTCCAATTGAATAAGGTTTTTACCTGAGGACGGAGGCAGAGTCCACTCTCCGAAATGTTGTTTAAATGTAAAAAGACATAAGCAATAGCTAACGTACAAAACGTAGCCACAAGAAGACGTCACGACCAGAAACTTAGGAAAAGAAGGAATAGTGATACACCGATAGGCTATTCGGGACGAACAGCCTTATGGAGGGAGCAGTGTGACGGAAAGTGACCATCTGCTAGGCAAAGGCTAGGTAAACACTGCCTAAAAGCCGGAATAATAGCAGAAGCGGAAGTCATTCTTGCTAGGCGACGGCTAAGTGAACATTTGTTTCCTCATGAACGAATGTTAATAAAGACATTCCCTTGACAACGCAAAAGAACAGAAGAACTGTTCGACATGGCGACGTCTATCCCGGCCGCGTGGCAGTTATAGAAGGCAGTGCATTCCTGAATTCGAGAGTATGAGAGATCAGTGAGAGATTCTTCACGGAGATTTGTAAGACAGACGTTGTTCAGAAGGAGTTCAGTGTGTGAGCTGTTATATTTGACTGCAATTGTAAACAAGTGCCAATATACCCAATCATCTAACTCAGAACCCATTAGTATTAGTCACGCTAACCCCGGGATACGTGACAATATTAACGTACCATGGTTTTCTTCTACCTTGACGGATCAGTATAGCTTGTCTATTCCCATTCAGAATTAATTAGGTAAATTTTTAATCTTGTAGAGTCTGTAGGTCTCATTGGACGGAATGTACAACAATCACGAACTTTTAAATCTTACTCGCACACTTTAAACCTGTTCTTATGATTATATTCTACATTATGTAAATTATATTACGTATGAAATTTGTAGTTCTCTAATGATTTCTACGTTCCTTTTGCAGTCCGAACTGGTGTATCCTGCAGACTTCGTCATGAAATGTGTGTTGATGTAAATATTATCTCATTCAGAATTTAAACACTCGAAATAAGATTGGTTTATCTCTAGAAGCACTCAGTTCAGTAGGTAACAAAAGATCCTGTGAGCTGTAAAAATTATGTAGTGAATTCTCTTGTAGGGTCATGACACCACTGCAGCAGGCAGTAGCTTCTTCCTCTGCCTCATGGGACTCCACCAGAAATACCAGGTAACAGAAGAAGAACAGAACACCTGTAAGGACTTCACAAACTCTCTAACTCCTTCTTCAGAATTAAACGAATGAGCAGTAAAACTGTAGACACGTATTCTGAAGGTTCTTGTTTCGAATTTTGGCCGTGACATCGACTCCCCAGACTGATTTTTCTTTGTTTTGCTCAGTTTCCCCCAGGAAAACATGGGGATAGTACACCGACCAGGCCATCACACGTTCTTTCTTAATCATTTTCAATTTGTTATCAACCTACCATTCGAAACTATCGTAAAACAACTTCCATTGGAGATATCTTCCACGTATTTTGTACCGAATAAATGAATCATACGACAGTCAGGTCTACCGTATAACAACTATACTGATTTCAGGAGTTAGTGATGCTTTTCTAAAATTAGATCTCCCACTGTGTGAGCAGCCCACTGCCGGGTCTGAGATAAAGACCCAAAATTAAGGATTGCAGATTTAATAATGCACAGTCAGTAAGGTGCGGTAGATGAGTGTAAAGTAGTGATGGAACGGGAATTAGTAGTAGGAAACGAAATAAACTGGGATAAAGAACTGCTCTAGAGTCACATTGCCACGAACCCCACGTGAAGCCAACCGGTGCTGCCCACGAGGCCACGCTCTTAGAGGCCAACATCTGACCGTCTGACCCATAACAAGACTGTTAATATTTATATGTTGATTGTTCTATTTCATTGTTAATTCCAATAGTGCAGGTTACCATGTCACCGTCTAAGGTTACACACGTGACAAAACGAATGTGAGTCATGAATCAAGGAAGTGGTAGCGAGCATTCTTGGCCTATATTGCGGATCAATTCCACATTTGAATGAGGGACTGAAAACGAAAGCTCAGTCACGTTGACCAGTACATGATCGAGATTCGAATTGGGAACCAACCAAATATAATCAGGATATCCGCCGATTTTATGGTACTTTGTCTCATCTCGCACTGACAAATGAAATTTGAGACTAGTGGTTCATATTTAGCCTCCCAAAGGTGTCTCCACCTGGTCGTGGTGGTGGGGTTTGCGTGACTCTGATACCTACCGGCGGTAGTTTAACTACTGGTAGGGTCACCCATGTCGGAAAGGTCAAAGGATAGAGTCCAGACTAAGACAGATACCATGGTTCTCCAGGTTGGGGTTTGGGCACGAGGCTAACAACCTCATCCTGTAAAAAGAATTTTGTTCAGAAACCTAACAACCAGCCTCGGGTCACCATGCGTGGATCCATTCCTATGGCAGGATGCACTGGTTGTGAGGACTGGCTGTAGAGGAGGCCAAGGCTCACCCAGGGCTGTAATGCCGAATGGTAGGTAGATAGGTAGGTTCATATTTAGAAGCGTAGACGCTATAAGTGTATGTGACAGGAATATAGTGAATTCCTGATTATCCGGGAAAAGAGAAAATGTGTGTAACTAGAAACAACGGTTAATCTAAATATCTGAAAATATCCACTATCGATGTTGGTTTTAGCTCTGAAAAACACAGAATTATTGCTTACTTGTTGTGATACTGGTCACTAAACAGTAAAATAAATATTTTTTCCAAAAGAAGGAAGCAACACTCGTTCAAAGGAGGCAGGCGTGAAGAAAACATAACATAATAGAAAGTTGCAATAGAACGAGATGTACGGTCTACTATATAAATATATATGTTATTTATTTTTTAATTGCAAGTGGGGTGGAACCAAGTCCCTTGTACTGCGGCCACTTCTGGCCTATTGTACCAGTCCTTGATGATAGGTGAGGGTGATTGTTGAGCAACTGGTGGAATGAAGATTGGCAGGGGAAACCGAAGTACTCGGAGAAGTCCTGCCCCAGCGCCACTTTGTCCACCACAAATCCCACTTGACCAGACCCGGGATCGAACTCGGGCCGCCGCCACGGTGGGAAGCCAGCGAATAACCGCTTGAGCTATGGCGCGGACTTATATGTTATTTAAATATATGTAATGGATAATACTTAAATTGTTATGGGACGCTGTACTCAATATGTAGGGTGTTATGAAAGTTATGTGCCAATAATGTAACTGTATTTTATAATTCCTTAGGATATGTGCGTCCAGGAATTGAACCAGATCTTCGGGGATTCTGATCGACCGGCAACGTTCGCTGACACCTTGGAGATGAAGTTCCTCGAGCGATGCCTGCTGGAGGCCCTGCGCATGTACCCCCCTGTGCCCATCATTGCCAGAAAGCTGCAGGAAGACGTCAAATTGGGTACCGCATTCATATAAATATACATGTTTAGAATCTGTTATATAGCTTTCTAAATCCTTCAATGTTTCCGAAGAATTGTTCTACCACCAGTTTATGTTATTTAGAATTTAGTTTAGAGTATTTCTGGACGGTTCCCTTCTCAATATTTCGGGACTGTCCTTCATAGTTTCTCTGTATTTAGCATTCACAGTAACCTTTTTTTATACATATATTTCCATCTTAAGTTACCCTTCTTCTTCACTAAAGGTTTCAGCCGCATAGGCCATCATCAGGTGTTGTCTGTCTTGCTAAAACAGTTGCACTGCATATAAACATTACGTATCACGTATGAACGCGATATTTTCTAATTAAAATAAATTAACATTGAATTGAAATCAATTAAAATCTGAATCCACAGTATTATCTTCCACGTTCACCATTTTCTACAAGGTGTTTCGTATGTTTTTCTTTTTTTTTAATTTCATCTAAATCTGCCAAGTCTGGTTCTTTGTGGTGACTAGTGAAACATGTTTATCAGTAATATTTCATTTTTCGGCAACTTACAAACAATTTCCTCTACAATGATTAGGCCTCAAATCTCTCTTACAAGTAAAATGTCCAATTCAACATAGACCGCAACAAGCCAAGTAAACTGAAGAAAGAGTAAAACAGGAAACTACAGAATCCTTCTTTTATGGTCGAACTAAGTACGGAAGCGCCACTTTGTCCACCACAAATCCCACTTAACCAGATGCGGGATCAAACCCGGGCAGCCGCGTTTGGAAGCCAACGACTAACAGCTGGAGCTATGGTGCGGCCGTGCATCGAAGTTACTGCTGCCGCATAGGGACTGATTTTGGAGAGAGATTTACGGCGCTCAGTCCCGTGTAAAACAATTCCGTATATAATCAAAGTCCTCTAAATCAGTGTTTCTCAACCGCCGGGCCGAGGTCTCACAAAGGCTGAGAACCACTGCTCTAAATTGACGCCACTTCCCTCTTATGTGTTAAGATCATTAGGAAGATTTCAATAACTAAAAATTCCTTACGATTAAACTGTAATCCCCATTGTACATGTTCTGTGCAGCTTCATCAGGACATATAGTACCCAAAGGAACTACGATCGTTGTTGCTACCGTCAAGACTCACCGTTTGGAGACATACTGGGAGAACCCTGACGTGTACAACCCTGACAACCACCTGCCAGAGAAGGCCGCTGAGAGACACTTTTATTCCTTCATCCCTTTCAGTGCCGGCCCCAGAAGCTGTGTCGGTAAGTGCCGGTAGCAATAAGAATTAATTATAAAATACTAGTCATTATGTTTCTTCAATTATTATTATTGTCACCTGTGACAGTGACTAAAGACGGGGTTCGGATTAGTAATTGAATTTATTAACCACCTACAGGTCGTAACTACAATTAATTTTTATACTACTGCCGATTTACACACTACAAAACACTCCACGCTAATCTCTTCAGTCTATCTGCATTACTCTTCATGGATTTATAACACAGGACGTATCACTAAATCACACATTCCAAATATCACTGTACTGGAGTACACATAAAGTCTTCACAGGCTGACTTCTTCTCTTCTTCTGTACCTCTAGTTCCAATTCGCTCTGAACTCGTCGGAACGGACATGGATCTACAGTGAACATATATCACGTAATCGCTATCCAGCCAGTCTATTGGCGCGTCGGTCGGATCTAGAGAAAACACAGCTTCCCCTATTGTTGCATGTTGAATAGTGTTTACAGAGCTGTTGCCTGGCAACGTGTTGATCAAAATAATAACATTATTATAAGCAGGAACATCTGAGCTGGGTAATCGTTAAAAACGAAACTTAATCAAAAACGCCTAGTCTCAATAGCTTGAAAAGTCTTGGGACCTCAAGTAACAAGAATATATTGCTCGTATTTTGGAAAAAAAATCAACAAAGCTTGGTTATAAAAAAGTCCTCAAAACATTTCTTCATCTTCTTCTTATTCCACTCGTATTACAGCATCATAACAGTTATTGTACCGTCGCCGCTAATCTGCAGAGATTTGCTTCAGTTTAAACTCGACCAGTTCTAACAATCAGTGACAGGGATTTAGGCTTCAGACAGAAAATAAACACTAACAGACTATGCATTTTAGCCACAGCTAAAAATTAATACCTTACACTCCAGTTTCGTCTCGTGTACATTTCTCAGACTCGCCTTCTTTTGTAAGATTTGAGGCTTTCACGGCGGTGACTATGAAGAAAGCAGTCTTATGGGATTTGGCACCGTGTATATGTGGTGTCTGCTTTTACCGGGTCTCACGGTCTCTCCGCTTGCAGAATTCTTATATTTTTTTTCTACCCTGAAGATGGAGGCGATACGTTCCTCCGAAACGTCGGTTAATACCACATATACACGGTGCCAAATCCCAGAAGACTGCTTTCTTCATCGCCTTCTTTTAATCCGCAACTGCTCATTATCCCCAATGGTTTCAAATGCGACAAATAGGCGGAAACTTATAAATAAACAATTCTCATCCCTAGCTACAGTTTCCATAAACAGTCATTCTATTGGTCCATTCTTACGAGTATATAAGTAAAGGTAAATGTAAGGTAAAGTTATCCCTGTAAGAGGCCGTTGTGAGACGTTGAGGGCCCCCAGTCGTCCCACAGACGGCCGCCCTTTAGCCCCCAGGAATGCACCTGTACATTGTGCTTCAGTGGGTTGCTGCGTAGTGTATGCACGTGTGGTAACACGAAACAAGGAACTTGAACTCTCATCCAAACTTTTACAGGCCGCAAGTACGCATTACTGAAGCTTAAGATCATACTATCAACAATCCTAAGGAATTTCAAAGTATATTCGGATATCCCGGAAGATGACTACCGTCTCCAGGCCGACATCATTCTCAAGAGGGCTGATGGATTCAAGATCAGGCTGGAGCCACGCAGGAAGAACATTATGGCTTCCTAAACGTTGCTTTGTACCTCAAGGTCAAACTACATCTAATATCAGATTGATACCTGTATTATGACCAGCCATGATATGTGGAACCCCTAACCGAAGTTTATAGATATATACTAAATAAATTCCATATAGAATGGTTACTTTTCACAATAATTATTTATCTACTTTTTGAATTTTGGACGTATTGGTTATATCTATATATTTTTCTATTAAACCTGTAATCTCGGACAAGTGTATATTTTTTCACTGAATACCCTTAAACCAATTAGCTATTTTACGGGCATACGGTGGTTTTACAAGTGTCAGTTGGAAGTAGGAAACAGTTATGTATTTAAGGAGTGTTAATGTGTATGAGTGTATAAATATAATAAAGTAAATGAGACAATAACAGGTGTGTGATTTTATTTTTTACATAGTGTAGGAGCTCTGTTCAGAGCAGTGGGTACAGTGTAGTGCCCAGTATGTAAGAAAAGGTCGCGCCATAGCTCAAACTGTTAGTCGCTGGCTCTCCACCGCGGCGGCCCGGGTTCGATTCCTGGTCTGGTCAAGTGGGATTTGTGGTGACAAAGTGGCCCTGGGGCAGGTTTTCTCCGAGTACTTCGGTTTCCCCTGCCAATCTTCATTCCACCAGTTGCTCCACAATCACCCTCACCTATCATCTGGGGCTGGTACAATAGGCCAGAACTGGCCGCAGTACAAGGGACTTAGTCCCACCCCACTAGCAATAAAAGAAATATGTAAGAATAATAAGTAGCAATAAGTAGCTGAACATCGAAATTTCCCTCAATGGTGTAGCGTCGCTTGCCTCTCTGAGGAATACCATGGGTGGCAGTGACTCAAAGGGTCTGAGTTTAAACACGCATCCAGATATGTAATTAGTTACACTCAGTAGCAAGGACTCCAAAATTTATTCGGTGTGTCTGCACAACACCCTCTAAAGAGCCAGGATTTTTGGGGCGGCACATTTTACATACTGTTTTCTTCCTTTTTTCTGTCTGCTAAAAGAAAATTACTTAAATTGATCTTCTGTTCATCTCTTGACCATTAACTGACCGTTATCTACACATATCAATGCAGAAATGTAAATGAGAATGAAGAGTGTAAGATTTGAGGTTTTCACGGCGGTGACTATGAAGAATGCCGTCTTCTGGGATGTGGCGCCGAGTAGATCATGTGTGAACCTACGTTTCGGAGGAACGCATCGCCTCCATCTTCAAGGAAGAAAAACCCGCGAGTGAGGAACCAGCTTGAGCAGGAGTCTATAGCCACCTGCTCAGGCTGATTCTTCCCTGAAGATGGAGACTGTACGTTCCTCCGAAACGTCGGTTCACACAAAATCTACTCGGCGCCACATCCCAGAAGATGGCATTCTTCGAAACTGAATAGTGCTTTCTTCTGGTGTGTTACGCCGTCCTGTCTGGTATACTGACCTTATTCTCCTTGCCGCTGTTGTCCGCCTTATTATTAGCTTGCAGATTGAGACAATGTGTTGTTCCGAAATGTCGGTAAACAACTACCGGGCCGCACGGCGTCATATCCCAGTCACCGCCGTGGGAGCCTCAAATATGTTACAAATAAAACTGGTTTCAGGATCGAAACACATGACGATTTTATCAGCATGTTTGGAAATTTCACCTTACCAAATGTGATGACGTGAGCAGTTGATTTGAGGAAGAGTGGTCAAATTTCTTCTTACCCGGGGCTACATTTTTGCTTGCGCCGGCCTTCATAACTGTTACCCTCATACTTTTCACTAATATTTTCTTCTGTTCCCTTGTTGCTGATGTCGAAAATTTAAAATTATTAATTCACCTGCCTGATACTGTACAACTACATCCACACGATATGAGCCGGGATAGCGCAGTCGGTATAGCGACTGGCTACGGGCTGGACGACTGAGGAGTTGCAGTTCGAGTCCCGGTAGGGGCAAGATTTTTCACCTATCAACGCCGTCCAGACCAGCTCTTGGGCCCACCCGGCCTAATATCCAATGAGTACCGGGGGCTCTTTCCCCGGTAGTTAAGCGGCCGTGGCTTGAAGCTGACCACTTACAACTAGTGCCGAGATCAAGAAACCGTAGATTAATACATCCTCTCTAGCCGATCATAGTGGCCCGCGGTCTAAGGCATTAACTATCTTCGTCCGCTCGAAAGCTGGGATCGTGGGTTCGAAATCCACTTGAGGCATGGTTGTCTGTGTTTGTGTTGTTCTGTGTGTGCAGGTAGCGATCTTGCGACTGGCTGATCTCCCGTCCAAGGAGTCCTACCAACTGTGTAAAAGACCAAGGAAGTGAAAAGCGACGAAGATCTTACAAAAGTTGCGCAGAGTCGTAGATAGATAGATAGATAGATACATGTCCTACTGTCTACATTATTTATCCTCAGTCGCGAACTCCCCAGCCATCTTGTGGAAATAAGTCGGTATGCTCCGACATGTAAGGCCGCGCCATAGCTCAAGCGGTTAGTCGGTGGCTTCCCACCGTGGCGGCCCGGGATCAATCCCGGGTCTGGTCAAATTGGATTTGTGGTGGACAAAGTGGCGCTGGGGCAGGTTTTCTCCGAGTACTTCGGTTTCCCCTGCCAATCTTCATGCCACCAAATTCTCCGTCGTCATAATCACCCGGGGCAGGCTACAATAGGCCAATCAGTAGCCGCCGTGCCGAGTGGACCCAGTTGGACTTCACCCCCCACTAAGCGAATTAAAGAAAACCTCGGTACGGCGGGGAAAGTATTCACCTACCATAAAATGTTCATCCTGAGATAAATTCTTCTTGCCCATTTCCCTGTACAGACCATGACACAATGAAGCATGTTTTCTTCCGGACCGGCGCATGCGTAAAGTTTCTATGAGGAGACACCCTTCTCCCCGTAAACCCCTCAGTGTGAGATCAAGACAGCTGACCCGAACAGTATGAGTCATATGGGTAGTTCCAAACAGTATGTTGTAGTATTGTGTATGTCAAATTACGAAGAGATTTGGGTCGTTTTAGTGCGGGATTACAATCTTTTTTACGCTGCCTGTCATCATAAGAAATGTGTTCTGTTAAATGTAACATAATCACCAAGAAAAAGAAAATTGTTTATGAAGTTTTAATACAGGTTATTCTGCACGGGCACGCTGGTAGTTGTTAGAGTAACGGTAAGTGGTTTTACCATACTTCTACATTAACCAATACGCGGCGACGCAATGAATTATCTCCTGGTACCAGCAGTTTGAAAATAGCACCATAGACAATTCTCTAAATCGTCCAGTCTCGGGCAACAGTAGTGAATTCATTTGGATATTATTGAAGGAACACAATATTCAGGTTGCGTCATTTTACTTTCTCTGATTTGCTCACCGAGCTGCTCTGAGTAGAGTTTATTCCTACGCTTAAGTAATCAAGCACTACTCCTTGATGATGTATGGGAGAGTGGTTAGCTCCACGCCCCGGTCGCTTTATTCCCGAAGAAAAAGCACACTGTATAAGCTGCTTTGAATAACGAAATAAAATATGAAGACCCTGTACTGGATCGAGTAGCGTCCAAAAATGTCATGACGCAATCTAAAGTAGTCTGTAAATTGAAGATTTTACTGTACTTCAACAGGATCCCAGAAACAGATCAGTGTGGGCACTGTTTTTCCGATCTATCTGAATAATCAATGCTATACTGAAGTTGGGGGGGGGGGATGGTAGAGATCTGCGCAGTCAGAAGAAAATATGTTTTACAGCCGAAGTATAACAGTCACAATGTTCTAAATTTTAAGTTTTTACTGTCTCTTTATCATCGAAACATAGCTAATTAAAGAAATTTTATCGTGTTTTTGAAATGCTTATGACAGAAAGCAAATTTATGTATGTATATACAAGGTGTGTCCCAAAAGTCATGAAATATATTTCTTTCCCGTGCTCCTACTGGTCGGAGCGCGCTGGAACCGGTTGGGTTGGGGGGGGGGGAGGCCTTTAGCTTCACAGCGC